GGGGGGGGGGGGGGGGGGGGGGGGGGGGGGGGCGACGACAACCGAAACCGACGACTTCAACAAACGCATCATGTGAAATAGGTGAAAGTTCCGAGTTGGTGCTGCAGTAGATAGGTAACAAATCGGAACGCTGGTGTGATGTGCACCCCTACCTTGTGGTGCCTCTGGCGCATTGGGTTTCATGTCTTTTCTTCACGAACAAACGGCTCGGTAGATACCACAACCAGCGGCATCCAAGTGTACTATGGCATCAACATCTGTCCTTCGTGCCTACAGGAAACAAGGACACACTGTTGGCAAGCAGAACGTCGTAGCTAAATAGCCGAACGGAACCCTGAGTAAACATGGCCAACAAAGAGACAAAAAACAAAGATGAACGCACCAGCGGCCTCGTTAGCGACGTCCTCCGCTTGCCCTTCTTGCCGCCCCCGGTTGCCGCGGTGGCTTTGGCGAGTGGTGCCGTGGCGATGTCCACAAGTACCTGCGCTGCCGCCTTTCCGTCCGCGCCATCAACCTGTTCTCGAAAACAAGGAGCAACATTAGGGACAACATAAAAAGGCCAAGAAATCAGACAGCAGACAGCATTACGGCGAGAGAAGAACAGAGAAAGAGTCATTCGCCACCTTTCGACGCTCGTTTCCGGACGGTAGATTGTAACGTCTACCAGCAGCGAATTCTTCCATGTGGTCAACTATGTGGCCTACAACACGTCCAAAACCATACACCTACGGTTCTCCCTCGTGAACGACAAGGCTAGGCTTTTCATTGGCCCATCTTCTAAAATCTCTCAACACACACACAAAACCCTAGAGACAGGAATCAGTCTCCTTCAGCCAAACCCAAGTGGTAATAGAAACCATAACTCCCTGTCCTTTCATCCTCAACCAGCCCCCCCATCCCCTCGTCAATTTGCACACCTCGTCCAAGACGATGAGGTTCGGGCGCTTATCGGCCAGGAGCGTGTTTCCCTCCATGGCCTCCGTCATGCGCTGACGGAGCACAGACGCCGTGCGGTCATCGCTGGCGTTGATCTCGTACACGCGATAGCCGGCGTGCTTCGCGACCACCTGGGCCAGCGTGGTCTTTCCTAGGCCGGGAGGCCCGCACAGCATGATGATCTTGTGGTTGGTGCCGTGTGGATGGTAACGTGATTTTTCGAGAAGAGGGCAGAGCGGAAGGAGATGGGGGGTAGCATGTACGGGGGAGAGAGAAGGCTCGTGGTTCCTGGAAAGTAAAAGAGGTTGATGACGTGCGCGTTTCGCAGGAAGGACGAATGGGCTAGTTTGTTGCCACTTTCGCCCATTTGTCAGTACGACTCGGGGGGAAATGCTCCCAACTTGTTAACTTCCTCGCCGGGCGCTGGCAATCCGACTCGTGGTTGACTTGGACGAGCTTTCGACCGTTCACACCCATCGATACCCCCTCCGATCGCCAAGGGAGGGAGCTTATCCTTGTTTGGCTTCCTCTTGCATTGTGGGAAGCTCACCCTATGACCTCTGGCTCTCTCTGTCTGTCTGTCTGTTCTGTCTGTCTGTCTGTCTGTCTGCCTCTCACTTTCTCTCTCTCTATTTCTGTCTGTCTGTCTGTCTGTCTGTCTGTCGCTCTCTCTCTCTCTCTCTTTCTCTCTTTCTCTCTCTCTCTCTCTCTCTCTCTCTCTATCAATATAGAACTACCTTGAATCCATGTATCTCACCCGCGCCTCCGGTCTCTTGTCCGTCGCATCGCCCGTGGAGGCCATGCTGAGCGGCTTCATCCCTCCCACGCCCTTCTTCTTCTCGGCGGTGACAGTGCCCGTCCTGGCCGTCTGTTGTTTAACAATGCCATATAACAGCAAATAACAATGCCATATAGTATCATTTCCGGATCGAGAAGGCATAGCATGGCGACGTAATACAGGCAGGAGGTGGGTGGGGCGTGATGCTTTTCGTTGTTTCGAGATGGGTTTCGGCTGCACCGCCGAGACACCGCTACAGCTGTCCCCCCAGTGATGAGGTCACCCCGCCCTTCCGCGGATCGGAAAAACATGCAATCGTGCGGGCGCAAACACCCGTGTCCCAATATGCACCAATGTGCAACCCTCCGCGTAGACTACCTTCCGAAAATCACTCCGACATCACGTACGTATATTTTTCGCGGAAAAAGCAATCAGCGGCCCTCTTGCAGTGAACTTCAGGGAAAACTTTCGAAGGCACACAAATCGGGGGCCTTGTCCAAAGTATCCCCAAACCCTGCCCTGGTAGCCGACATTTCCACGGTCTAGAGGAGGAGACAACATCGGGAGAAGGCGAAAACGATGTGATGGACACGACAAGACGAACAAAAGACGTCCACACGGGTGTTCCCAATTCAAACACACTTTGGCCGCTCACCTCCTTCTTGAACACGAAGGGATCCCACGCCTTGACGGCCCTCAGAACCTCGCGGTTGATTTTTTCGTCGCTCAACAAGTCGCGGAACCCGTCGGGCGCGTACTTGTCTACCCACAACGCCCCGTCGGCCCCGAGCTTTCCCTTGCTGCACCCCCCGCCCCCGCCGCCGCAGCCGCGACTACCGGTGGTAGCCCCTGCGTCCTTGTCTGCCTCCTCCCCGGCAGAATCCCCCGCTGCTGCCGCCGCCGCTGCCGCCCGTTCCTTCGCTGCTGTTTCCACACTCCTCTGTATAACCCGCCGCTCCGTGACCCTCTCCATGAGAGTGGCCATGGGGGTGTGGAGGAGGCTGCCCGACGGGGGGTTGGCGAGCCCCGTGCCACCTCCAATACTGCTGGTTGCGGTGGTGGTCAGGGTTGCGCGCACCTTGAGGTGCATCATGCGTCCACCGGACTGTATAGCCGGGGGGGAGGGGTCCGCCCGTGGTGGCGACAAACAGACAGGAATGGGACGGGGGGGAGGGAGGCGGTACGAATTCAGGCAGGGTCGCTTGAACATACCAATAGCCATATCAGCCAGCAAGCAGGCATGCGTCAGAACGTTATGACTCGCAACGATGCCATCACCCTGGCCGAGACTTCAATTCCAGGTGTTCCTCCGACACCACCACCACACGATGCGGGCACATTCACTCCTTTCCCTCCCCATGTGATCAACGGGTGGCGACGACGCTGTTACAGCCCGAACTCATCTACATCACGCTTCCATCCTCTACCAGAACCAGCATCATACGCTACCCGACGATGATACTCCGTACCATGTGTCCCATACAAGGACGTCAGAAAGCAACAGCGCTTAGCAAGCTCCGCACCCCGTTCCTTCCTGACCGTTTACATCCCTTCTCCTTGAACCCCTTCCCTAAACCCACGTGCAGAAGATTCATATCCACCCCCACGCACGCACGCGAGCACCTGCATGAACGGCACGCTGTCGCCGTCAACCGAGGGGCGGCTGAGAACCGCCCCTTGAGTGTCTATCGCGGCCAACATCGCCGTCACCGCCGCCGCTGACCCTGTTGGACGGGCGGAGCGGGAGGTCGCGCCGCTAGTCGCCGTCTGTGGAAGAAACACGAACAGACAACATCAGTCATCCGACAACTAAGGGTGCCCGTATGGTGGACGGACGTAGTGGGGCGCGAGGGCGGGGGTAAACTTGAAATAAACGAACAAGATGCGGGGGAGGGAGACCGCCCACCAAGACTCTTGGAGGGAACCTCTCATTCACAGTAGGCAAGGTACTCTCCCGAGACTTGAGTGTGCGCACGAAATTGACCAGAAAAGTCGAAGAACAACGTGAGAGTAGATAGTCAAAAACCAAAAACTGCCGTGGTCAAAAACTGCCGTGGTCAAAAACTGCCGTGGTCTACCGCGCTCTTCCCTCGTCACGTATCAACTAGAGAGTACGTCGCGCTTGAGTGTTCCCTGCCATGTCTTGCCTCTTGGGATCGAAAACTCCTCGTCGAGCGGCCTCCCGCGGCGTCATCGGGTGCCGAGCGGTTGCCGCTCCAACGGCTACTTGAGTCGATCTGCAGCACCGGATGCAGCGGGCTCGTGCCGCTGTTGTCGTGAGTGTTGTGCACACGGGAAGTACAAGAGCGGAGAAAAAAAAACGCACGACCCCGCCAAGTGAAAGCGAGAGCATCGGGGTAAGGTTAAGGGGCGGATGCATGGACATTTTCGTGGCCGGGCGGTGAAAACAAGTGCATTTTTTGCTCTGTGTCAAGTTGGTGCTCTGGCGATACAGAGAGAAAAAAAGAGACCCATAACACGCAGACACAAAACATCAAGCTTAATACAAGCACAACCGTTGCGAAGTGTTATGTGCTAGACCGTGGACCAATTCGGACGGACTCCGCGCCACTACAAGCCTTCAGCACGACCGACTGGTTCACCGCTATAGAGGACATGCAACGGTTGAGACTCGGCGAACAAACCCCGATGACACGATAACAGCGCCCTCGTAAATTATCTACCCAAGTTCCAGAATTCCGATCGTGTCTTGACACTTTTGGGGGCAGTCGGACACCACTCGTGCCCAATTTGTCGCTGGCGCACGGGGCAGCGCCGTCTTCATAAATCGTACCACGCACGAGTGGCTGCGCGCCTTCTTTTTCCCTCCGACCGTCAAGTTGGCACACAAAGCACGCACCTCCGCCCCTCGTTGTTCAGCGCCCTCCTGACTCTCGCGGCAGCGTCGCCGTCGCCCTCGTCCACCGAAGGGTGCGGCGAGCCAACCTCGCCGGGCGGCACGCCCAAGCGCTGGTCCAGGGGGGGAGGGCTCGGGCAGTGGTTCCTGTTGAGGCCTGCCGCCGCCGAGGCAAGGCCGTCGGCCGCCGCGCCAATGCCGAGGCTAACGCCTACGCCCGGCCCGAGGTTCGTGCTGCCGCTCAGCGGTGTTCTCGTGGAAGCCTAGGTGAGTTTTTTTCGTTCCAGCGGGTACATAGTGTTGGTGGGTAGTCGCGAGGAGAACGGTTGTCATGGAAGCATGGCGTTATACGGCAAGGGGGGAAGCGTGTGGGAATTCAGTGCGCGTGTTATTCCGGTGTGTTCTGACTGCAATTTAGAAACATCCTATCGTATGTTGCGTGCTTGAGTTGGCCCCAGAGGAAGTCGGGCAAGAATAGTGGCGTTGTGTGGTTGTCAAACGCATACATTAGCATGTTGTAATGCAGCAGTTGCCCGCGGATACGCGTCTCCGCCTGCCCAACACCAACTGCAGAAATGTACTGCTGTTACACTCCGTCTCAACTACCCCCTCACATGTCCCGTACGATGGGTGTAGGTGCTAATTTGCTAGAGATCACCGCGTGACGCCGTACGTTGCATAAGATACCACACCCCCTTGACAATTTTCAAAGTCCGAATACTCGTCAGGAATTCCAGTGATGGCGCCGAAACGGCGGCGATAGGGCCTTCTCGTCGACAGTCTTCCCCAAACCGTATATTTTGAACTTGGCATCCTCTTCGTGGTGGAGTAATCGAGCATAGAAAGTCGGTAAAAGGGGGGGGGTGGTTTCTACAGCAATGGAACGCGGCATTTACAGCAGTCGGGCTCATCTGCCGTTACGCCAAAATGCCATAGTATGGCCCTGTGTATGAGGCGAGACACGAAAGCATTGACGCCACAACGGCAGCTATAGTTGTGGGAGCTGTATGGAGATGCGAGACCTGTACACTCTGTATACAATCCTCTGTGGGAGAATAGACAGCATCCCTCATATTGCAGAGGATACACACACCCCAGAGGGATTTCAAAGTTAGACGCTGACATTTCGACAGCAAGAGGGATTGTCAACATCAAACCATGCGTCCCTTGACGGATGCTGACACCATATTTCCAGTAAAGCCCTTGTACTTGCACATTGCATACCTTAACCTTTCCTTTGGAGATACAAGATCAAGCTTGGAAAAAGGGGGTTATATCGGTTATATCCTAGAGCAGTAGCGGCACAACCCCGTTTGCGCGCGTTTCCGTCGAGTCAACGTTTGAAACAAATTATGCATCAGACGCCCTCCAGCCCCCAGCAGAACGGACTACAACAAGGATCCAGGGTGGACGAGTACAGTAGTGGGAGGAATCGATAGTTGCCTCAGCTTCCATGGCGAGCTCCGCTTACACGTACACAACTTGCGCACCTCAGCTTCCATGGCGAGCTCCGCTTCGATGTCGTCCATCATAAGCTCATCGTCGTACATCTGATCCTGCTCAGCGTCTGCCAGGAGGTCGTCAAAGTCTGGTTCATCTTCCATGATGATAGGATACGCCTTTCTGTCTCTCCTGCGGCTATGTAAACACGCACGCGCTTGCGTGGGTGAGGGGGAAAGCAGGTGGAAACGGAGTCGTAGCCTCTGTGTGAGCTGTGAGCCAAGATTTGAATTTTGTTCGGCCAACGAAAATCGAACTCCTTGTTCCCGTTCGGCATGGTTCACCTGAAAACGTTGTGCCGATTCGTCAACGTGTAGCGACAGGTGTTGCTGTAGGTCTAGTCTATAGGTCGTTCTTTGATGTTATGTATATTTTCTAAGGCTGGGGACAGGCAAACAACACGCCAACTCTCGGGTCTTACGGATGATTGACGGAGACACCGCAAAGAGCAAGGAGTTTAGGTGGTTCTGAGTGTTTTGCGAAACCAGAGCACTCTACCGTGTCAACGTACCGTGTACACAGAAAAGAGCAGCAGCCTTCGTGTTAGCAATCGGTAGGCTATCTTTATAGACTACACGTTCAGAGACGTAGTCTAGGGTTCCCTGGCGTGGGTTGGTCGGCTGGTATAGCATGCAGACAGTGGCAGTGCTGTCTCGATGACCGCTCTATCAAGTCTCGATCTTGTCGAAAGCATGGTTGGTCCTCAGGGAGAGCGTCCACTGAGCGACGAGATCCCAAAGCAAAGGGCGGACACCGGGCAGGGAGCAGTCACGGGGGCGTGTGATGCTGTCGTCGGCGAGGTTAGCCTCGGAAGTCCATCTGTGACTGCGCGTTGTTGCAACAGCCCGAGGAAGGGTGATGTGCGGGAGCAATTCCGAGAGCCAGGGGGGGGAAGACAACAGGGTAGGCGTAGACCTCGCGATCAACAGGTGAGACGCCCCGGGCGCTTCTGTGATTCTTGTCAAGACACACGGATAAGATACTGTGTACAAAGCAGAATACAGCAGAAGTCAGGAACGAATCCCCAGACTGCAGTTGTTTTTCTCTATGAGAGAACATACGCACCATCTTGTATTGTAGTAGGGATGTGTTGAAGGGCATACTGCTGTGTGAAGGTTGAGGGACGGCGGTCGGAGATTCTTGGACTACGGTCCGTACTTGATTGAGAGATATTCTATGCATACCTGTACGCTGAAGGTTCATTCCCACCGCCCGGACTACAAATACGTCTTCGGATGAAGACGATCCTTGTCTGTACTTCACTTGGTCGTGCTGAAAGATTGCTTACAGTACTCCTACTTCTACCAGGATCAGAAGTAGCGTCTCTCCTTCATCCACAAGACAGCAGTAACGACTCGGGCGGTGCTTTTAGCATTCGTAAGTCTACATAATGAACTCACGATATCTTCCTATACGTAGATCTACAGCTCTACAGATACACATGCTCCCAAGCAAAGGTCTGGCCGGCAATTACCTGAGGTTAGGGCATTTTTGCAAAGAACAATCAAGACCACCGAATGCTGCGAACATGGACAGTTCTCACAAACGACGTTATTATCGATTGTTCTTCGCCGACGCTTTAGTCTAAAGCAAGGGTTGCCAACAAATAGGGTAGTCAGGCATCAACATGTGTCTGTTTAGGTCTGTACTTGTGAAGCGTAGGGACGCTTAATGAGGTGTGCTGAATATAAGGTGACATCGACCAGAAACAAAATACTTACTTATACGAATACGACAGAGTCTATGTAGACTAGGTACAGGTAAAAACTTTGGAAGTTTATGGAGCAACTCTTGTAAGACTCTACTGGGCCAACAACGAACTTCAAGTGGGAACCTCTGGGTATGTCATGTTCAAGCCAGCCCACATTCCTTCCACAGGAACACATTGCGGTATCTAAAAATAAAACATGGCTGTTTTGCGTGTTCGGCCACGATCGAGTGTTCGGAAGCCACGAAAAATAGAAAATAAACGTTCGTTACGATATGATGCTGCCCGGTCTCAATGCTCGTCCGCTGCTATATTTTCGGGTAGGACCAACAAGTAAGAGGAGGTGATGCTAGAGAAGGAGGGGAGAGAGGAAAGGAATGTCGTCCAGACGGACAGGCGACGGTCAGCATGATGGGAAAAACCATAAACCTATCGCTGTACCCTAGACTGATGTCGATCCTCACCGCCACTGACGATCTTCATCCGCACCTGAGAAGCTTCGGCTGGCTCGTCAAGCGCATGGACGAGCTGTATGACGCCAGGCAAGAGGACATGATTCATGCCAAGAAATTCCCCAAGCCTGGGTAGTCGTCACAGTATTCTTTTTATTGGTGTCAGGGAGCGGAAACGTTCAGAACCTCATCCAGGCTAGCGAGTCGAGCGCATGGAAGGGCGCGATGCGTGGGGTGGTGCAATGGGGTACAGCATAGCCGTCTGGTGCGACTATTGCGTTAGGGTTGTCACAAACCGCGGTTCAACGATAAAGGTGGTTTGCCGTATTTCCTTTCACCTGGTCCTTGCACGCGATACTCAACCCGGAGGTGATGGCTGTCTTAAAATATCGCCTGTTCTATCAGACGGCGGGCGGAACAGGCGATATTCAGCGCGGAAGAAGACTACCTCAATCTGGACTCTGGCTCACGCAGGCATCTCTCCTTCCCGGCGTTCGCCTACAAGCACTTCAAGAACCGACACGGTATCAAGCTCATGGTTCGCTCGGTAAGCTTGTTGTCAACGAAGAAACCCCACACGTTAGAGAAAGTCAGCATTTTTTGCGGCCAGAAAAAATGAAGCTGGCTGTTTCGAGTACACTTCAAACAGCATCCAAACCCTTCGTGGTGGACGCAATATGCTAGAGAACTATGCATCGCATCTCAGGAAGAAACTGGATGATTGTGGATCTGCCTGGTTGTCTCTGCACTCTTCTTGCTCCTCTTTGGTAATTCAATCCTCTCCATCGATACGGACGTCTGTCCTACACCGTTCGTGATATCAGCCGTCAGCAATAGAAGTATTGTATTAGTACCCCGGCAGTGACGAGAACGATAACACGTGACACACGACCGGGCATCGCACTAAACTTTTCCTTTTTCCATATCCCTCGACGTATGGGCATACATACGGGCCTTCCTCTTGTTCGATAGGTTTGCCTGGATTTGGTGTGCAACGTACAGCTCTACCGAAAAAAGCAACCGGAGGTGGAGGTGTTCGCGCGCTTCATGGAGGAATTCTACGGCCAGAAGGAGCTGTGTTTCTTCCTGTAAGAACAGAAATCCTACTTCGTACTTACGCACACGTGGTCCCTGCGCGAAGACTTTGTGAACATGATGGACTACACGGGGGCGAAGAAATAGCGAATAACTTCATGGCCATGATTTTGATTTCACGGGGTGCAAAATAGAACGAGCCGGTGTTTGACTGTCTGCCCTGCTGGGTGTATCGTTCCCCGTGCGATGAGCCATTTAGGGAGGAACAATGCTGATCTCGTGTGTTGCCCGATGCACCCCTTCGTTTGGTCCCGGTGCCCTCGTCGGCACCAGGTAGACCTGGCACTGTCGCCCCTCGCACGCACACTCTTGTTTCTTACCTCGACCGTCGTGCTTCGCCTTTTCTGTTTCTTGATCGACTGCTCTCTTTCTCCCCGCCCACGAAAGGGACCTGAGAGCGGAAGCTCACCGGGTGACACGCGTGGGCGCTCGACCGGTGGTAGTGGTGAGTGGCCATACTTCGCTTCCCACTAGCGCGCGTCTGTTGAGCTCCCTCCTCCCAACCTACTCTCCCTTGCTTGACCGGGTCACCACCGCGAGACTTGAACAGTGTTCAAAATCGACTATTTCGCCGACAAGCAGTCCTTTAGGTAAAAGGCATGAATCAGAGAAAGTCTGTTGGACTTAGGCATGTGGGCTGCAACCTGTTTTTCTTCATATTTGCCGTTGATACATTATATTTTCCCACAACACCGGGTAGTTCAGGAGTTCAAACCCATCGTCGGGACGACGGGAACGCTGCGTCGCCACTACACACAATAGATGCAAGGGGAAAACGCTAAGCACGTGATCACACAAAGAGACGACCAACCGCAGCAGTCCTTCAACAAATGTGCAGTGCCATGCAAGCAAGGCATGCTTGTGCCCGGCTTCCTTGTTGTGTGCCTGTCTCAATCTCACGAAAGATGCCAATTTCTTCGTGTCTTCGCCGCACGGATTCTTGTTAGGGGACGCAAGCCGTATGGATGACCCTCCCGGACTGCGTCAGAGTCGCCAAAGGGGTGTTCTTCGACTCCACCGCGCTGTACTTCAGGGATCTCATTGCTACCGTTAGTGATCAGGTCAGATCGTATGCAGGGTGAAACGAGGATATTCCGGGGCAGGTGTAGGGCCGGGGAGTTGTGACGAGTAGCTCAGCTCAAAACATGACGGCTGCACCGGATGCAGGATTTCTGAGCTTTAGTGAAGTGCTTCGGCGTGGTGCATTTGGCTGTCCAAGGGTGATTAACGCTGCTGTGCACCAAACGAAAAACACACACCAAACCTGGCAGATGGAAACGGGCGGACCGGGCGGACGAATATCCTTGTCGGCCTTCCTGTACCTCGCCATGGTGTGTTTCGTATCCCCGAAGGATCCGTCCGATGGCTCTCAGCAACAACATCATCAACAGAAGCAGAGGTCTTCGAGACAGCTTCACGGCTTCACGTCAGCAGCGGCCTCCGACGGTCGTCATTTGTTTGCTTGCAGTCGCGGTAAGGAGGGCGCTGGTATCAGCGCGGTCGGGTGCATGGGCAGCGGTGGCGGCAAAAATGGCGGTCACACGGAAGACCTCGATTCCGCCGGCGTCGGTAGTACTGGTGGACGCAACTTGGCCGCCTTCTCCCCTTCCTCTACGATCACGCCCTGGGATAGACGTGCCCTTGGAACGGCAGCCGCGAGTGGGGGCGGTCGAGACAGGAGCGGCAGCTTCTTCGGAAGTAATTCGGCTGGGGTGGCTGGAACCAGAGAGGATGGGTTACCATCACCCTCGTCGGTGAGTCGTTTCGGGTATGAGGCGTTCGTAACTAGTGCCTAGTACATATTTTCAATGTCTGATTGGGTGACTGTCCTTCGCGGTTGAACACACATTCATTTTTATCCCCTTCGGTCGCTCACGAAAAAGCAAAGGGAACTCTGCCCACCCTTACGCTCCTGAGCTGTTCGTACACTTGCCTGCCGCGCACCACTACGCCAACGCTTCCCGTGCTGCCGCCGCCGCCTCAACCACTACGCGCTGTTTCCTACCCACGGCTTGCAAATGGTGCCTGGCTCAAGCAGGTTTTTTCACCAACGCAAGTCCGTGCAACGACAACTCCGGACGCTGGTCAAGAAGGTCTTTCCCAGCGTCCACAGCTTCCTTCGTCCGCTGTCCCCGGCTTTTTGTCACGACCTCAACTGTCACCACAATCGCTGCTGTATCACAGCGCTCCTCTGCCCCCTTCGCAAAGCCCTCTGACCACAGCAGAGAGGCAGGAAAACGTTGGCGGCAGCGAGAATCAGCGCCTCGGCTCCCCGCGTGGTGTTGGGTTTGAATGCGGTGATTCCCCCGCATCGACGTTTCCGCAGACGCCGCCACCGAATTTTCAGCGGCAGCAGCAACTGCAAGAAGAGGGGTCGCAACCCCAGCAGCAGCAGCAGCAGCAGCAGCAGCCCCGACAGCAACACCGACAGCATCGACCCGTGGAGGACCACCCGGGATCAATAGAGGGGAACCGAGGAACGGTGCGACCACGACCCAACGGTGGGGGCGGAGACGACCGCCGCAGCGACATCGGCAGTCCTGACACTGCTACGATCCTTGAACGAGGACTGCACAGCCTGTTGTCGTTTGTCAGAGGGGACGAGGGGGGCGAAGGGGGCCAAGGCGAGGGCGTCCGACCGGACAGGTCGAGCGCACGGGACGGCTCGCCCCGTCTTTCGCCCGCTTCCTCGAGCCACGCGCGCCCCTCGGATCATGCGCGGGCGAAAGAAGCATCGTCACCACCACCAGCGCAACCGACACCACCGTCGTCACTATCAGCATCTGCAACAGCAACAGTGCCAGGGGACACCGAGTGGCAGCGGAGGACAGCGGACTCGAATGTCGAGTCACTGTCAAGGACAGTCAACGACAACAATAACTTCTCCTCGGGCAATCGCAGCAGCGGTGGTGGCGGGGGGGGGGGAGGGAGGGTGGTTTCCGGGCCTGCGAGACAGGCCACGGGAGGAGGTCGTGCTTCATCGCCGGTGGTGGCCGTGGAAGAGCCAAGGACTGAACACGACCGCTCAACCAACTTTGCCCCTGCGAACGAAAGTTGCAACGGTGGTGGTTCCGGGAGTCCGGTCGCTGGCCTAGTGGGCGGCAGAGAAGAAGCAAGACCACATGATCAGCTCCAGCTCCAGCTCCAGCATCAACGCCCTTCAGCAGCGGGACGGGAGACGACAGCAACCCCGCATTTCCCTTTTTCGCCGGTGGCCGATTCTCCCCGCCCCCCGGGCGGCCCCCTGCGCGCTCTCAGTCCCTTGTCATTGTTGGAGAGACTCGAACGGTCACATGTGCAGAGTCGATCACAATCGCCAACTCGGAAGAGCCACAGAAAACAGGAGGGCCACAGCACTACATCCACGGCGCAGAAAAAACAACCGGCGGGGGCGACGAAGCAGGACCACGTTACTGACGCGATCACCGGAGCCCAGACATCGACAGACGCACCATCGTTGTTATCCGGGCGTTGCGGCTACGGTGGCGAAGGAGATCGGCATTCCACGAAGGCTGTGTCGGACGACAAAATACCGGCGGCGGCTAGGAACGCCGGCAATGACAGTAACGTTAAGGGCGATACTTCGCACGAGTACCTTCGGCCGGGCGGACACTCTCAAGACGGGGTAGAATTTAGTCATGACGTGGCGTCGGTAGCGACCGACTGGCTTGCCTCATTCGAGCAAAGATTCATGCCCTGCTTAATGGCGGAGGTGGGGTCGGTGGTAGACGTGGCGGGCGCAGAGGGGGCTGGGAGCGCAACAGCATCGGGGACACTGGCGGGCGTTGTTGCAAGCAGTGGCCGCCGTGCGGATGGGTCATCATCGACGAACTATGGGATGCTGTTACCGGCACCGATCGCGCGAGTGTTGCATGAGGTGAGCGAGCATCGGTTGAACCCGAAAAGCACAGGCCGGTGTTCACACAAACATACACACCTTTGAGGGGAAACAGTGCCAACCCACACAGAGAAAATGACTGTTGTAACCCATTGAGAGGCGTAACCGGAGAAAACACAAAGGTGATACACAAAGTTTGTCAACGTCTTGTTGGCGAATCAAATTTTGTTTCGCCTGTGAATGATTCTCTTTCTTTCCCACCGTAAAAACAGGAGGTGTTCCGTGTTCTGGCGCTGAACCGCCGGGACCTCGACATCGTGGCACGCGTCTCTCCGGAGCTCCTTCAGTCTGCCGTGGTGAAGTCGTTCTGGATGTTCGAGGTGTGATATGGACAGATAGAAAGTGCAAGAGAGAGGGAGACAGACAGACAGAGACAGACAGACAGAGACAGACAGACAGACAGACAGACAGACAGACAGACAGACAGACAGACAGACAGAGAGAAGCAAGATAGGCGCAACAGCGGCGACAACCTTTTAGAATGTTGTGTCCCGATACCCACCTGGAGAATATCTTAACGACAGCGCGGCCTTCATTGCTCACTGCCCTGCGCCTTTCTCCAGGTTTCAACCGTTTAAGCATGATCCTCGGTGAAGGACGGAACACCAATGTTCATATCCGCTTTTGCCGATATGATCAATAATGCATTTTGGCAGATCTTTGCCCTCGCAAAAGTACTACCGGATGGGGGTAGATGATGAGCAAGGCGGTCTTGAGACAAACGTATTGCCGACTCCAGAGAAGTGCGTGACCCCTCCAGAGCCCTCAACAACTCCTTCGTTCTACGTATTTCTAAGGGATGTTTGAAAGTTTTGCCCACGGCGTTTGATTGGCACAAGGTTGGCTGTTCCTAAGGCCGGGCAAGTCATCACCGCCTTGCCAGGCTATATTCGAAAGCCAACCGGAGAATCGACATACTCTGTGGGAGACTTGTCCCGGCACATCCGTTATGGCATACATACCTGAACTCTAGCTTGCCTCATCATTCTCTCTTCGTCCTTCCCCGGCCATCTTCAAGGAGTGACTGCCGTTGTACACTGGTCGTTGGCTCCTCCCCGGCAACCCAAAGCCCTGCCATGCTCCTTGTCCGCGTCAAAATATACAACACCAGGAAGCTGTCTTCACGGCAGCAGCCCGCTCGCACGCCCTGTCGAACATGGGCCGGCTCCTGGAAGACAGGGGGCACCCTGATGAGGCTTTGCTGTGTTTCCAGGAGGCGTCGACTGCGGATTCCGGAAGCGCGGAAGCCCTCTGCTGCAGGGCACGGAACATCCACCGGAGAGGGGATCTCGACGGGGCGGCTTTCTATTTCCAGGCGGTACGTGCGCACTGGAGACAATGCTGTATGAAGTTGTTCTCATTGGGTTTGTTTGTGGACTCCATCGATAGGCAACCATCGACACGTGACAAACACAATTGTGGTACACGATCGGTATCCTGTGCTGGTCGCCCTCACGATCCACCCGCCACCCCACCTCCCAATCGCAGGCACTGGCGAGGGACGAATCTCATTGGTCTGCGTGGTGTGGGCTCGGGCAGGTGAAGGGTGCGCAGGCCAAGTACGCTGAAGCCGTGGAAGCATTCTCTAAGTGGCTTCAAGGGGGAGGAGGAGGGGAAGGGGGGGCGGCCGAGAATGGCAACACCGGCAGCGGTGCCCCTCAGGCCGAGAAAGTAGCAGGGGCGAGGTTCATGGCGAAGGGTCTCGTGCAGCTTGGAGAGGCCCACGTGAAGCTGGGGCAGGTGAGATGGTTGCTTGAATTAGATCCAACAACCGTCAGTTGGTGATACACTCTAAGCACGCACGGCACCACATGAGTCATGGTTGCTGAGCCCCGGAGCACACCACTCATCGACAACCCCCTCCATGCAAATTTCATTTCCTTCGCACCGGAAAGAGACATCGACAGGGTTCTTCTTGCTGACTCTTTGTTCGCGGCTGTTCCCCCTTCGCGACTTATCCCGTGTTTCGTTGTAGAAGTCAGACCCCGCCCGCCCCAACCCCCGCAAAAGCTACTCGGCTCAAGCACAAACAACGGTGTCTGGCTGTCCGCTCAACTTTCACACCGTCGTCGCTGCCAAAAAACATTACAATCATCCTCTCCAGGATAAGCAGGCGCGGAGTGCATACGAGAGAGCAGTGTCCGCAGACGAGAACTGCTCGGAGGCACACTTTCAGCTCGGCACCCTCCTCCAGGTGAAACCGTGTTGTTGTCGGTTGTCGTCGTTTGACGTAGGCATACACGCATTTATCCTTGATACGCTTTGACTGCACGCCTCGTGGCACATAACCTTGACCTTCGACCACTGGCTGGCTAAATGTGTCAGTGCTTACGGTTCCGGGGTGGCAACCACTTTGTAGCAGACCTACACGTCCTCAACACCGCAACTCCAAATCGCGTTCGTTCGTTGTTATGGAGCTCGGCGAATCAATCCATTGTCGACAACTCACCCTATCCAAAGGCATTGCTCACCCAGCGACTCCAAGCCAGTATAGAGTAGTTCAGATACCAGCCAGACAAGAAAACTCTCAAACCTGGCCGACACGCACAACGAGACACCGGCGTCTCCCATATCAGGAAAAGTAAACAGGTCCATTCGAAACAAAAAAACAAGCAAGACAATGAATGACGTATCGTAACCGTTTCATCCTCTGACCCAATCCCAGCGATGTGGTCAAGACGCGGAAGCACTCAAGGCTTTCGCAAGTGCCGTCAAGGCGGCAGCGGTGGCAGCGGCACGCGGACCCGACTCCGGCGCAGGAGAGGGGTCGAAGGAGGCATTTTCCTCCTTTCTGTCTTAGACAGAAGGAGCGAGCCGCGCCCGCAGACGAGTTAGTTGCGGCGGGGGGGGGGGGGGGGGGGGGGGGGGACCAAAGGAAAAAAGGGCCCCCAGGGTTATTTTACCCCGCCCCCCCCTTTGGGGGGCGGGGTCCCAAAAAAAAAAAAGGTTTGGGGGGCCCTTTCCGCCCCCGTGGGGGGGAAAAAAAAAATTATTTCTTTTTTTTTTTTGGGGGGGGGGAAAAAAAGGGGCCCCCCCCCCCCCCCCCCTTTTTTTCCCCCCCCCCCCCCCCCAAAACCGGGGGGGG